ATATTGATATTGAGAGTTGTCTAACTGTACCTGGCCTTGCATCGCCATTGGTCTGTGTTGTGATGCTGTAGGTTGCGACTGTAACCCTCCAGTTTGCGAGGTAGAGGCCATGAGGCCTGCTGTGTATTGTCAGCTTGTTGAGTCCGACGAAATTCGTTGGTAATTGATTAATTGAATTGAAATGTATTTGACCTTGCAGTTTAGCTCGCAAGACTTCACTGCACACTGTTTCCACTATCAAAGCACTTGTTGCGGAGTGTTGCTCAATACACGTCCGCACTGTATGCGTTCTCATGTAGTCCGTATCCTACAAGATAGATCTCTTCAGTTTAAGTTGCATTTACAAGCATGGTTGTTTGACAGTAGGTCCTGTAGGGTTAACTAGCGCACAGATTACACTTCTGGAGACAGGCCGACATTCTAGTTTTACAGCCTATTAGTGACAATTGTGGTGTTACTGAACACAGGTAAGTAAATGGTAACTCCATGGATAAACAACCACTGGACTAATTGTAATTCCAGTTTTCTTGATTGCATATTCTCTTTCCTTAGGTGAAAACTACCCTTAAAGGAAAGAGGATTCGGGATGAAGAAGTAGTCCCTCTGCTTAACTAGTTAAGCACTCAGCCATGAAGGCGTATGGGGGAGTGGATGTATAGATCACGATCTTCTTGACCTCAGCACTAGTTGGAGGTGAATGTTCAGCTTCACGCCCCGGCTGCTTTACCCCCACGGTAATAGCCACCAGAACCAATTCAATACAACGCTGGGTGGACCCCAGAGCTAGTCTGGACGACGTGAGAAGAGAAAATTCTTGACCCTACTGGGACTCAAACTCCGACCCCCCACTCTTCCAGCCCTAGCCAGTCGCTATACTGACTACCCTGTCCCGGCTCCCCTTTCAAAAGTAACTTTAATTTTTATTAGTGATAAAATATCACACAAGAGATAATGGGACAGTATATCTTAGCCCCATGCTAACTTCAGAAGAAAACTTGTGC